AGCCAGGTTTTTATTATTGGTGAATATCAATCAGAAAATATGTATAAAATGGGGTAATTTTACGACACAATCATTTTAATGTTATAAATGGCGTGAAACAAGGTGGAGTTTTATCTCCCATTCTTCTTACTCTATATGTCGACGAACTTCTAAAAAGATGTAAAAATACTAATTATATTGGCTGTTTCATGGGTCATGTCTATGTTGGAACCATAGGTTATGCTGATGATATCACTTTTGTTACACCTTGTAGACAGTCGCTGTTAAGATTGATTGATATTGCAGCTGAGTTTTCAGATGAATATTGTGCTAAATCTAACCCTACAAAATGTAAACTTGTTGTTTTTAATCATATTGGCCCTTTAAGGATATATTAATTAGTGGCAAGAAAATAGAACATCACTTAGTAAATCCACTCTCCAACGATTTTAAGGAGATGATGGAACAGAGTTTATATAATTTCAACACAAAAGTCAATATTACGCTCAGAAATTTTACAATTTTGCACATCCATTAATAAAATATAAACTATTTAAGACCTATTGTATGCCACTTTATGGGAGTCAACTATGGGACTGTTCCAGTAAGAATATTCAACACTTTTATTGCTTGTGGCAAATATGGCAATTTCCCTTTCGTACCCATTGTAAACTTGTAATCTGTAATAATGACGTTTCAATTAAAGCCCAATTACATAAACGTTTTTTTTAAATTTGCACTTGGAATACTTAATAGTAGATGATTAAGGTGGTGATTAAGCGACTGCAAGTGCTATTACAGATTATGTATTGTTCAAAGAATTTTTGTTCTTCTCAGAAAATACTTCCGATGTTGTAAATATTGATGAAATATAATATAATAAATTATTTATGTGTATCATAGCATAATTAATAGGGGTAGTAATTGTTCTGTATTGTATTGTTTTTGTATTTTTTTTTGTGTATATGTGCACTGAGTGTGCGAATAAAGGTATTATTATATTATTATTGCGAAAACATTCGATACTCCGTAAGAATCTTCAGGAGTCCCTTAAATTGTAACACATAATTTTTATCCAAAAAAATGTTTTCACAAATTCTAGTGTATGTCATTATTTGTGTTGAAAAGAAATGTTAGAAATTATAATAAACAGTCCAACAACATCTCTTAATACCAGGCCAAAACATCTCTTACCACCAGTCCAACAACATCTCCACAACCAGTCCTAAAAAATATCCTTCTACCAGTCCAACAACCTCACCCAGAAACATGCCTAAACCAGTCTTTTAACATCCCCTACAGTCAGACATAATCTCCATCTATCAGTTCAACAACATCTAACATCATTGTTTACTTCTAACCCTAACTAATCCCAAAGGAACGCCAATAATTTCGGTTTGTGGAAGCGAATAAGAATACATTGATCACTTTTCACTGTCTCTGGCCTCAACCTGCACTATCCGACATCCTCGACTTTGTTTAAAAGATGAAGAAACTCAGGGTCCCAGAAAACACCCTTTTAATCTCTCTAGACTTTCGATCTTAAAATGACAATGATTCCGGATTAAACGCTATATAGCAGGCATTCGAGCGAAAGCCCGATCTTCAGAGATCAGATTTTCTAATACTAATATTTTCTGCTCTGTGGTATTATTATGCATACCACAGCTGACAAACCATTGATAATTTAACTGTAGGCTGAAATGTTAAATTGAATCGCTTCCCCTCAACTGATTGAAGCTGAATATGGGTGAACAAAAAATATAAGCGAATTAATTATTTCGTTAAAACGAAATAAATTATTATTTCGTTTGAATTTAAACGAATTATTAATTCGTTTAAACGAATTATTATTTCGTTTAAACGAAATAATAAATAAATATGTTTACAATTGCGCCTTAGGGGCTCCGTAGGTTTCAGGGTGTTATCATTATTTTCAATTATTCTTATATGAAGTATAATTGAGAATTGAGAATTCATAAAATTTTTACAAAAAAGTTCAATTCCGAAACCACAATGAAGAGTCAGTCAGTTATCGGCCTAGATCTGAAAACTTATACTATGGTGTGGCCATCTTATAGTTGTAATATATTTGGATATGCTTCAATAAACCAGTACAGATTATTATTTTTTGGTTTTAGGAAATATTTAAGCTATCATATCAGTGGCGGAGCCAAAGACAGAGGGGTTTCTTGCCCCCCTCGCAGCCCCGAAGGCATGTTTTTGGGGCAAAAATCTCATAACTAGGTTAGAACTCCAGGCCACTCTTCGGTATTTCGCCCACCTCCCCCTCCACCCCCGCCTCCCCCCCCCCCCCCCCCCCCATCGCCTCCCCCTCGCCCCTCGGACGTAAACCTGGCTTCACCACAGTATCATATTACAATGCGGTTCATTGACAACTCCTTAACTTTGCCGTATTTTGTTAAGGCGTATTTAGCCTCTTCCTTGTGCATCAAACTTGATATGGATATTTGCTGTTTGAACTGCTTGAGTTCCAGTAGAGGTAAGTCTATATCGGGCATTCTTTTAAGAATGTTATGCCAAGGGTGAAATTATTTTTAGTTTAAGAAACCTTTTTGGGCTAGTAAAGATGTGGAGTCGTTGATAAATACACCCCATACCTGTAATTAACCTGAGCTAATACATGTATATTATAGCCAATAGAAGGTCGTGTAACATTATTGATTTTATTAACAACTTATTTGATTGGTTAGATTATATATTTTTATTAGAGATATGGCTGCTCTCGTGTCATAACAAACAAACTTTTACAAACTTTTCTAGATAGGTCAAACTTTTGTTATTATTAGTACAGGTAGGAAAATATGTCGCAATACTTTTTTTTGTTTTATACTATATAAGAGGTACAGACGGCATCTCTTGGAGATGATCTGTAATGACAGTTCATCATTGATTATGTCCACAATTAACAATGACAGTTGTGTCCAAGGGAAAGTTGGGTAAGGAAGATGTCAATAACTTGACTGTAATTTTTAATGTTGACCATCAGCTAAAAATGAAACATGAATAACAATCACACGATGCTTTATGCAAAGTTAGAATTAAGGAGAACTAAGTAAAAATGTAGCACAGCATTTTTGTGCGGATTGTTGCTTGCATGCTTTTCTTGTTCTTTCATAGATGTTGGAAAATGCAGTGAAGGAAAAGGGGACTGCAGTGGTTGACAAATGTTAAACTTTCATAAATCCCATTTCGGTCTTACAGTGGTTAATGACTGTTGCTTATGACTGTCATGGTTGACAAGTGAAGTTACAGATTGTAAATAAAATTCATGTTTTGCATGAAAATGTACCTATTTATTGTGGATCTGTATACATAAATATGTTTTATAATGTAATGCTTGACTAAGCTGTGGAAATGCACAGAAAGTTTAGACTGAAAGATAATTATATGTAATACTATAAAAAGGTGTATATAAAAGTTGGTCATGCAGTGATAGTAATAACATAATGTAATAGAGGATAACTGGGAGGACTTTCATGGCTGGTAAACATTTATTACCTGTTCCTACTATAATAACAGTATCTATTCAGAAGATGGCAAGATAGTTTCACCCTTACAAATACCAAATGTCTTCTTTATAAAGACTGTTAAAACTTTACATATGAATTGTTTTTCTCATTACATTATTCTGCTATACATAGTTGTGGATATATGATAAGTTCCCTATACAACAGCTGAGGTGTGCATTTACTTATAAATGAAAATTCACTGTCAAATAATTGGATATGTTAATTGATATGATCATTTTTATATAACTAGAACTAAATTTGAAGTTTAATTTAATCTTTGAATGTTTTGTGTAATTGTAAAGAGTAATGAAATATTTGCTAGAATAAGATCATATGAGAATATGAGATACAATTTAGATAGTTAGTGTAATATTTTATACATCAATATAACAAAAATAAGCAAACTTTTTGGTCATGGGTTCATTGATGGACTGATGGTTGTCGACTCTGATGAGCAAGCCATAAAATTAAACATGCACCATCACCTATCTACCAAGCTATTATTCAAATACATTTCATCTGGACATGATATGGTTTGGGTGGCAAGCAACATATAGATATCATGTTATTTATGAAAATATAAGTTGTTGAAAATGCCCCACCCCCATCCCAGCTGTTACTCTGACTATTTTGAATATTGATAATTGATATTGATATGAAAATACCATCATTTAATAATTAAAAATCAATATTATGTTAAATACAATTTAATAACAACTGTTTTTTTTATAAGTATTTCATAATAAGTAAGATAAAGTATTCAATGTTTGTATAAAATAATATTAATGTTTGTGTAAAGTTTTTGATTTTCACTTTAATATTGTAAAATTGTACAACCAAAACAATATTTATTTTATGATAATGATATGAAATATTAAATGCCTTAATGTATGAGGTAAACATCTTTTGGTTTTGTTCAGTAGATTTTGATTCAATGGCAAACGATTTCTGTTGGTTTAAACATAAGTAAAAATATTGTTTTTCGTAAATTTAGCACTTGAGGAAACACTTGAGGGTTAGTTGACAAATTTATTGGACCTTTTATGAAGTATATGTATCTGAATTATATCACGCTTTCAAAAGAATACAATTTTTATACACGTCATTGATTTTAGGACTGGTTATGAAATGAAGAAAGAAGATAAATATTCAAATTAGTGTATTGTTTTTGTGGATCAGTGTAGTGGTGTCTAACCTGTTTATGTCATGGTTCAACAATTCTATTACCCTCCTGATTCAATCAATACTTCATTTCTCATGTAGATCCATTTAGTAAGTAATTTCTTTTACTTTATGTTTTCATGATATTCAGATTCAAATAGAATTATCAGGTTTTTTTTTTTAATTAAAAGATTAAGGCAGGGCTTCAATACCCATATTTGAATTTGAGGTAGGCACCAGTATTCACGAAGAAAATGGACTCTTGATTTACTTTTTCAGTTTTTGTCTTTTTCCTAGTGTGGTATGCGAAATTCATGATACATCAAAATGGATTCAGAATTACTAAATTTGGACAATTTATCAGAAGAAGAAAAATTGACGATTTTAAAAGTGATTAAGAGAGATGAAGATCTTAGATGGGCTAAAAATCAACAAGTTAAGTAAGTTATTTATTTATTACAAAGCATTTATAAAGCGCTTATCTAATTAAAATTACTCTAAGCACTGAACAAATTAAAAGCACAATGCACACAATAAAATAGAATAATGCAATACAAAAATAAATACAAGTGGATAAAGTAAAACAGTTTCAAGAACGATAATTGTTATGCCATCATTAATTTTATATCTTCAAATTGTTTATATCAGATCATAAAGTTTAGATGTATAAATTTTGACTATTATGATATAAAAATTACAACACGTTCTTCAAGTATTTATTGTTTATATATTAAAGATTACAGAGATCAAAATTTTCAACTTTGATGTTAGTTCTAATCTTTTTCCAGTCATCTGAAAAATGATATCCATAACATTCGAGTGAAGAGTATACTACATGACGGAGATGATCTCACTAAAATCTGTGCTCGTTGTCATGAACCTTTTGGATTCTTCTTTAACACTGGAGAGACATGTCAACAATGTAGGTTTAAAGTGTGTAAAAAATGTCGAGAAATCAACCTCTCTGGTGCCTGGTCGTGCACTCTCTGTTTTAAACAAAAGTAAGTCTAAATGATTCAAAGATTATGATTTAATTTGTTGATCCAAAGTGTCAGAAAGTCAAGTTTCATATTCCCTGAACATTGATTTTATCTGTCCCTTGGTCATAGCTGCTTAACATACGGCTTTGGTGTATGTCAAATAATCCTTTGGTAGAGTATTGTTAAAAGTTATAGCTCATCATTCATTCATTTGCACATACATTGTATGTAATCACAAAGACAATAATATGGAAGGCCAGTCATATTTAAATGCAAATGTGTTATAAATTCAAGCTCTTTCTCTGCCCATGTGATGCCCATGTGGTTTGTATGTAACTATAAAAGGATGCAGTGACTGCGTCAGCCAGCAACAACACTGGGGTACAAATAAGGTTCAGACTGACTTAATGAGGGGGGGAACTGAGGTTAAATTCAAAATGCGGTAATTCTGTCAAGGCATCAGTAGCAACTCTCTCAAAGAAGTCTGGGAATTCATTTGGTGCATCCTGACACATATTTTGAGGCAAAAATCTATCACATTTTTTTTGGTGAAAATAAGGTAGGGTACTGTAACAGTTTGAGGTGCAAATCATTTTTATGGGGGGGTGGGGGGAAATGAAAAAGACATGAAACAAAATGTTTAGATTGCTAGATATAGACAGCTCTGAAGTTGAATCTGGTTTATGTGTATTGAATGATAAAGTCAGCACTGTCTCTTTTTTTTTTTAAAGCCAACTAAAACTGTTGCGGGGAGATTGGGTGAAAAAGGTTGGATCAAAGAAAAAGGGCAAATTTGAACATGGTGGAGATATTGTGAAAGCCTCAATAAGAAGGAGTCTCAGTGAGGGTAAGTTCTGAATGACATGATATCAAACAAGTAGTTTTCAGTAGTGTTGTATCAATTGTTAAAAAGGATTATAATTGAAAGAAAACTTAAAGCAGTCCTTTACAAGGAAAATTTAATATTTGCACAGATTTGACATTAATGAAAATACCTTGGAGTTATAAGGCCTCAGAATCCAACAAAGTATAAGAATGATTGTTTAACTTAAGTGCAAGGAGCCACTGTGGCTCAGTGAGTTAGACGCTTGCTCGATAATCTGAAGATCCAAGATCCGAGATGATACCAGGTCCGTGATGCAGGTAAGAGAGCCCAACATGGAAAAAGCGTCTAGTTGTTCAGACAGGACAATAAACCGAGGCCCCCTGTGCTACAGGATATGCATGTTACAGATCCCTCGACAGTAGGAAATCGAAAAAAGAGCAGGCTAAATTTCCCTCATTGCACCCTACATGGTGTTGCCTGTCTTCATTAGCCCACATGGTGCAGAAAAGTAGGACGTAAAACTCCATTCAACTCATTCCATTTCCTTAACCAGGTCAACATACAGACTGATTTTAGACACATAAGATTGGACAACAACTTCAATATAAAATTTAGTCTAACCCCAAATACGTAGTTCTTTTATTATATGAATTAAAAATAAAAGACATTCCAAGCCTGAACCTATCCTTAATTTTTGTTGTTATTTATTGATATAGATCATTTCTTTGATTTTTTACTCAGATATTGTTTATTGTTAGGTTAATATTATCACGATTGCTTTTAACAATACCAACAGATTAAGTCTTTCATATTTTAAGAAAGTGATTAAATAGTTTATTAGATGTGGTAGTGTTTTAGGCACTTCATACTGTTATTGATTATTCCTTATTCAATATTTGTACAGCTGGTTAGTGCCCAATGTTTCTCAAAACCTTTACTAGCAGCTTTGTGACAAGCCTGACAAATCTGGCCCTTCCTCGTTTTTCGGACATATTATGTGGATGTGATATCAGCACTGTTAGAGCCAGATTCAAAAGGTCACATTTTATTGTAAACCGAAACATCTGCCTCTGATAGTTATTTTGAAAGTTGTTGGATAGTGAAGGGACTGAAACACTAGGCCTTGTTTTGCAGTGGTTTTTAACTTATTTACTTATATTAGATCCATCAAACCCAGATATATTCGGAAAGATGGATATTTTTGTAGTTTGTTCATATCATCAATATCTTCCTACTACATTGATGTCAGGTTGGCAGTTCCATCAAAGCATTTTTAATGAAACTAATCTCTTGTCGGCCATTTCAAATTGCAGCCTTAAATTTACAGTGATGCCCAACCCTAATGTACCGGTATGTCAGAAAAAAGCATCTTTGGAAGTTTGGAATATCCCCAATAAAACAGGGCCTAGTTTTTCTGATTCTACACCAGCCGACTGGAATAGAGGTAGATGTTTCAGAGTAATTTTATGGTAGTTCTCAAAAACTAGTGATCAGAAAAATGGTTTGATGCAATTCCATATAATGTGACCTTACATGCTGATATCACAATCGTGTATAATGTCCAAGGAACTGGTTGAGGCAGATTTGTCGGGCTACTTTGCGACATCTTAAATATTTCTAAGTGCAAATTTTCACAATTTTAATGGATTTTTACAGTAAGATAGTATTTATCCAAAAGAAAATAGCATTTTTTTTTTGGTCCCAGGAATGATGAACATTGATTTATTTAATTTCATCTTTGATGTGACAATTGATTAATTTTAATTAATGATATAGTTTTTTCATAGAGACATTTATAAAAGAATCAATATTTCATGAAAATGAAAAATTTTTTTTTTTGAAACATGAAATAAACCTGATCGACATACAATATTACATTATTTTCATTGGCACTTTAATTGTTTAGCATATTATATAGAGTAATCCATGAATATTCATGAAGTGATGCTGAAAATAAATTTTGATTATGATGTATTATGAAATTGTGTGAAATAAAAAATTGAACCATATTTCAGCTGGTAAAAAACTTCAAAATAAACCTGCAGGTTTGTAACTGATGTATTTTATTGTAGCATACTAACATTATATTCCTATAAGCTTCTAATACAGCATTTGCTATTGCTTTATATACATACATGCATCATTGAGACCTCACCGGATTTTACCTTTAGATTAGTACAGTCAAGTAACCTAATTTCGTGGAAACCTATTATTTGTGGATTTCCGGAAATGTTTAATAATTTACATGAGCGACCTTGCGCGACCTCTGCATTAGTTTTTTTTGATAAACATGGGTTTTCTGTACAATATCAGCTAGTGGAATGAATCCAGTAGTTTCAAGCAAGGTAAAATGTATTAATGTATACTTTGACAAATACAAAATGGCGGATTTCTGTATTACCAAACGTCACCATTTTTTATCGGCCAATTTCCTTATAATCCCAAACGGTAATGGGAATTCCAAGTGTCGTCTGCTAGAATGTAGTCCATCGAATAAAGTCACGTGATCAACTAGCGGATTCCGTGTCAGCAGAAAATTTCTATGGAACACAAAGTGGACGATATTCTTATGTTGTTTCAGTGACTTTTAGCAATAAGCATGTGGTTCTTTGAAGGAATTGTCACTAGTTATAATGAATTGATATTAAAGATAAATACTAAGAGAAGTTAATTATACCACCCGGTATCCATACAATGTGTTTTTCTCGACTTATTTATAGATCAAACATTGTACACGAATATAGGTGACACATTCTGCCGCTCCGCCCACAAGTCACAAAAAGATAATGCAGTCGAGATAAAACACATTCGCTAATGCAATGTATAGAAGATACTAAGACGAAGATGTAATGTAACTAACAGCACCAATTTTCAATCAGGCGTCTGTTTTCCCTAAAAGTATTTGATGACAGATGTCAATAATCACCAAAAAGTCTTATGTGATAAAGCATACTATTGTGATTAGTGACGTCATCATTAGTAATTATATTTGAAGGTCCATGTCATATATGAATCATATTAGTTATTCTTATTGAATGAAATAATTTTATGGTCTCAGTATAGAATTAGTTCATTTTATGATATTTTGATAATTGCAAGGACTGGCTACAGGCCAGATATGATTAGCAAACCAACCATCAATCTGAATACCTAATTTGTGTACGCAGTAGGCCTGCATAATATAAATACCTATGGTTATTTCTAATTGAACATGCTATGTAAAATGACATAAAGAAGATTGTTCCCTGTAGTCTGCTACTGTACAGTCAATCAATAAGATTGTAAGGTAGAAAGCTTATAGACTGGAGAATGGTATCGGAAATTCTCTAGTAATCCAGAATTCATTAGTATATAGTGTACGTCTGTTCGTCCAGAGAACAAGTGTTTATCATCTCTCTTCTCATTTTACATGTTTTCTATTCGGATGTGTGTTATACAATACGGAAGCTCTGTACTGATGTGTTTTAGTGATTGTGCTATGAAATAGGCAGGAAGCCTTAAGAGTGTGGAAGTTTTTGTTGATATCAGCCTTTCATTACAGTGTTCATATATATACATGTAGTTCCATAATCGGAATATTTGTATGATCTCTAAAGGTACATGTAGTATGTTTTCATGGTTGTTAATGGAAGATGAAATGTAGAATGAGTTCATAGTTATCATGTACTATTATCATTTGTATTAGATGCTACGATACTGCCATCTTATGTTGCTCCAAAGTATAGATGATAGAAAATGCTAGCTGTAAGACATGTTGAAATAGACATTACAGATATAACCATCATTTGCAGACTGTATCAAGAGATGAATGACATGATATGATCAATATGATCTAATGTTATTAGTCTTTCTTTCTCTTGATAATACAGACTATATTTGCATGTGAAACATCAAGTTTGTTATACTCTGTACATGTTTACAGAGATATTCTATCTCTATTTATACTTGTATAACTATGGCTCTGTATGACATATTTCATGTTTTCTATTTGTTTTGGTTGGCCAGACTTGATTTTCTAAGTAGTGTCCATAAATATATAATATTCCTATGATGATGGTATCAAATTTTTTTTTAAGATATATCAAGTTATTGGATTTCTCACAGTTGATTTTCAGATTTTAAAAAATTCTTACAATTAGATAAGTATGATTTCAGAATTCAGACCTATTGTATGAGTAGTGACGTAGAATCTCCTGTACATTAGTGGCTTTTTTGAATAAAAAAAAATTGCTGTATTTAGAGACTGCCTTGAAAAGAAAAGTGCCGAATGTCAAGGTTTTAGACACAACTTGTATTGACTTGACATTGTAAAAAAGGTTTGATACCATTTGTGATTAAAGAAAACTCAACAAAAAATAAATCAACTACCAAATCTTGAATCTTTCCTACAAAGTAAAATAACCATGTCAAATGCCATTGATCGATATGTGAATTAAGAAAAACAAGTACAGATGAGAGGAGAGTAGATTAATTTGTGTAGAAGTATATATTTATTTCAACTTGTTATTGTTAATTTTTAATTGGCCAACATGAGTATTCTTAGATCGTTTCTCAGATGTTGCAGTAAAAAACAGGAAATTGTGGTTAAATTTCAATATTTTCCAAATGTTCAGATCCCATAGAATGATCCAGGATGCTGTCATATTTGTTTGGGTTGATTTAACTTCAATTTCTTTAAGTGCTGTGATAGTGCTGTACTTTACATTAGCTTTTTGGATATCAGGAAGATTTGTCATTAGAAACAAATTTTTAGTGTATACAATTCATGGTCATTTATTAGTTTAAGATCTTGTCTATGATAATGCACATGGCAGCATTTCTTTCCTTAAGCCTTCAGCATATTCAAGAAATGGTGCCAGGCAGGGTATGCTTACTCTTCGAGTCACCTGATACCACATTTCATTATAAAATATTTACTCACTTATGATTAATATTATTCCTCATGTTAATTAGTTGAGTTCTTTATTACTATAAGTAATATATGTTCAATTTTTAATACTTCATAGTAAGTGAGAGTTTGATTTAACTTGTCTTGTATACATAATCCACTTATCTTAAACAGATCTTAGAGATTACTTACTTGACACATACGTCTTGAATTAAGCTTTTACCAGACTTCCATTAAGCGCTTACACACATTAAATAGATAATGGCAGATAAATATAGACATCTAGTTAGCTTACATTTTAAATTTATATTTGAAAGTCCATCGTTCAAGTATTGTTAAATTGAGTTCCCAACAATTGCATTGGTCTAGGTCTGTAATTTCATATATGTTTAAAGTTTGTTCTTGTTTTGAAAATAAGAAGAAAATATTCTGGAACCAATCCAACCTCCATTATCCTATTAAATGAAGAGTGCAAAGTCAAGTCATGTGATATCCATATGAAATTATTCAACCAATTGATAAAACATATTATTTGAATGACATCTTGCAGCCTATGATTTTTATGATTTAAGAAAGATACAATCTTAATATATTTGTTGCCTGGTGATGGAAACCCTTTTCTCTTAAATATTTAAAACTGTTTGACAGAAACTTTTGTGCTAATCATATTTTGTAGCAGGCCAAGCAGTTAGCATCCTTTCTGTTTCTTTGAAATGACTTCTCTCTGATTTGGTCAGTTGACAGTGTATGTCAATGTTGAACTCGTGTTAAATGTGATAATGGATTTCATTCACGTATGTAATCAACCTAACATTGTTTACAATTCTTATAAAAACCTTTTAGATATCAGAAAATACTAAAACAAATAGTAAAATTGTTTAAGATTGATTCAATTCTTGATAGCTATAGGGCATATTTAACAAATTGGAAAAAAATTGACTCTAAGTTAGTTGTGATTTCTTGGTGAAATGGGAGGTTTTCGCTCTATAAACTTACTAATTTGTCTTCAGGCTGAAAATTGATTTTTGGAACCAATTATGACAAAATTGGATGAAAAGTCATTTTTCAGTCTATTTAAGTCAGTAATTTGGGCTAATGGTTTTATCATAAGTCAATTCGATGACAGGTTTATGAGAGGAATATTAATGAGGTTCTGAACTGACTGACTAATTTAATTTTACTACCAGTATTCAGGGGAATTAGATGTTATCAGAATTTTTACCAGTCTTGTCCCAGTCTTGTCTGGATTTAGATTAGCCATAACTAACTTGAGGGTTAAATTAGGATTTTTTAGCTTGGAGCAGAAATGATTTGGTTATTTTTCACCCAGTTGTGTCTGATAAAGCTTGGAAATGTTTTTGACTCTATTACTGTATATTTTTAACTCTTAACAAAAACTATCAAATATATTACTAAATTTGATTTACTGTGTGAGTCTCCACAATAAGATATAGAACTGCACAACATAGCTACTAATTTGTGTTAATTTCTGCCAGTAGTAATTAAAAGTTTGTTACATATTTTTGACAGGCAAATATAGTTTTAACAACCATAGTAATATGTGTTTCCATGAAAGACTGCAAAATATATCTATAGAATTATTAATGATTGGATTTCATTTAGATATCAATCATATATTGATTTGTAATAAAATAATTTATTGCCCATTGCAAGCATATTGATATGCTTTTAGTGTGGTCAATATTGATAGATAGCTCATTACCTTAACAACTTTATTTCATTTCCTTATATCTTATTTCCAATATAAGTTTTCTGAAACTTGAATTGAAGTTGTTGCAAAACTTGAGGTTTTCAAATAAATTATTGATGATGTGCACAAGCAATGTTGAAAACATGATGTTAGAAAGCAGGCCATGTATTCTCGAAACGATCTTAGCCCTAGTTTGTCCTAGAATGAATGTAAGAAGATAACCTAGGACATCGTTTCGAGAATACGTAGCCATGTTGTTACCTTAATATAATTTTGAGTTTTGAACACATGATACCCATTTCATAAAGAGATTATGAAACAAACTGATTTACTGTCCAACCATTGAATTTTGTATTAAAAGTGTCATTTTGGAGTTGATTTTAATTATAATTCACTTAAGAATAATGAAAACAATGACATTCTGAACCCACAGACTGGAATACTTTAATTTCGG